CATCCCCCGCCGCCATTAGGATCATAAGGATACAAACGTGAGCGGGTCACTTGATCATCCTTTCAGACAATATTTCTTCCTTACAAAACATAAAACAGAGCATTCCATTAATAGCTTTTATTTTTACCCTTAATTTAGACGTTGTAATCTCTTTTAACCTCTTCTTTTCTTCTAGTCTCACAAATATTAAGACATGTCGAATTTGCTTTAGCCTTTCCTGTTTAACTAGAGAGATGCCACGTCTAATTATATTCACAAACGCCCTCCTTTCTCTACTCCCAATTTTAGAAAATAAATAATAAAACCTTACTTAAAGAGAGGAAAGACTGTGGGGATGGAAAGGAGAAGATGGTACTTATACCCATGAGCATTCTAGGTCTTATACAGTGAAATCCAAATGGAGCAAGTTTTTAGTGATGGAGCCTCTGACTTAGTGGGCTGTGGAGCAGGTGAGTCTCAGTGCCACACGTCCCAGAGCCAGGCACCTGCAAACTCTAACCACGGTGCAGCTACCTTCAGTTTTGCATATGCTGATGTGAGTCAGAATACTAGTGCATGACTAAGACCAAGAACTCTTCTCATTGGATTATGATCATTATAACCTGTCTACTTTATTCCCACCTTGTAAAGCCCAGCTGCCTGGCTGATCTTCTGTCATTGTCACTGGTTCCTTGGCCACCACACCTCTGAGAATGCAGAACTTGTCTCTGTATCCCAGATTTCACCTCGACTATTGATCCCATATTAAGTAACCTCATTGCTTTTCCATTTTCTCTCTCATATCCTTCACATAAACTCACACTGGTCCCTGATTTAATACTCCAACATCTGACTTCATATTCTCATCTGAAATCCCATTCCTTTGCTCTTCTCTACCCCTCTGAAACTGTCTATACTCTCTCCACTTCCTATATTTCATTTTCTATTTAGCCCACTCTAATTCGGCCTTCAGATAAATCTTCAAAGATCTCCTTTAACTTTCTTTATAGAAGATTTCCATCCTTTTAATTTCATCTTAGGGGTCACTTCCTGGGTGAGGCATTCTCTTTCTACCACTTTCAAAGTAGTTTCCCACGCCCCCATTATATCACCATGCCTATTATCTTCATAGCGTCTATCACTATTTAATATTTTATTGCTTATATCATGAATCCATTATATTGTATTTATCATCTTCAGAACATATCACTATTTGATATGTTATTTTCTATATACACATAATTTTTTTACATTATTGGTTTATTGTGTTTTCCATAACTATGTGAAATTCATGAGTGCAGCAAACTTGAACTCTACCTGCACATAGTTGTCACTAAAAACATATTTTGTCGAATGAAAACTAGAGTCTCAAATACTGTGCCTTGCTCTGAGTATTTATACAAAATACCGAAATAATGATGCCAGGTAGATTGGAATATTTATAATGTTACCTTGGCTTTAGTATTTTGTACTGTTGTCCCCTTCTGTGAGGCAGGGGAGTAGTAGCCAATGGACTCTGATACTTTAGTTAATTTTTCTCCCATTCCATCCAGCTCAGTAGACTTTACCAGAATTCTCCAGAGCTAGATTATTAGTGATGAATCATGTTTAGGTCATTAGTGATTAATGAATGATTAATTCATTCTCTTCTAGTATTTACACACTAAGTTATTAAATTTACTGAATAAAGTAACCCTTTCTGAAAACCAGATTTTCCATACCTTTGGAGAAAAATGTTGAAAAGTTCACAAGGTCTAGAAAGTGCAAAGTCCAGAATTAAATCAGCCCTTCCCTGAATGACAAGAGGATACAAATAAATGTATTTATCTTAACGTGAATGCTGATAAACATCTGGATCCAAGAAGGCTGAAGACTTCCTCAACCTTAGCTAAGAAAGACTGTGTTTTAGAAGTTACTTGACTCTAACGAATGCTTTTAAACATAAAATCTAGTATGAAATAGAACTGCAAAACTAAGATGAAGGAAGTCCTTATTATTTTAAGTAATAACCAGTAATAGGGGTAGTCACAACCTTGCAAACCAAAAGAATTGCAAAGCAATAATTTTGAGAATGTTGAATTTATATTTCAGAAGGAAGTAGAGAGGACTAACCAGAGAGACAGCACAGTGATATATATTCTCTCAGGAAATCTTGGCCATTTCTCTTTCAGGAAGTTTACTTAGCTCTTCTGAGAAAATAAGTATATCTGCAAGTGTACATTTGTTACATTCCTTTAGAATGACAATAAACACTTAAACAATTTTCTATTTTGTTTATGGAATTCTCATAATGCCAAGGGAACCAAGATATTTCAGAATATGTTTAATACTTGAAAATGGGTCAGCATTTAACATTTCAGGTGAAGGTTGTAAAAGTTTCAAATATAGGGTAGTTTGCTTAATCTCTTAAGCATTGTATGTTGTTCTCTACAGAGCACTGTAACCACTGTGAACGCATTTGTGATCTTGAAAAACACTCAGGTCTGTGAGACTTAAGAAAGAAGGAAATTTTTAAAGAAAACTCTATAGTCTTGTTGTCTTTTTGCAGCTTGGATATTCTGAAGTATTTTGTGATGAACAACATATATAAAGTAAAAATGTTAAACTCATCTTTATTTAAGAAAATATCATTGAATTCCTTGAGGTAGTAAAATAGTTTTAATTAAATAACAGATTTTTTGTTTTCTTGACAACTTTTTCTCTTGGCTTTTTGTTATGCTATTTGCTTTTTCAAATCGTTAGAGGCATTTGATATATTTACTGAATTTCTGATGCTTTACCAAAAAAAATCAATTCTATTATTGAAAGCCCATTTTCTTTGTAATGTGTGTTTGTTTTATTTCAGATACTTATTCAGTTCTCATTTCTTTTCTAAGGCATGTTAATCTCACCTTCATGTCTAAACAGAATTTGTAGAAATAGAATATTCTAAAAAGGAAGTTTGCTTTAATATGAGATTAAAGACAATGCATGGTGTGAATAGTCACAGCATTTTGCTTGTGACTTCAGAGACCAGCTATACCAGGCAAGGTCTCTTCCTTGTCAGCTGGACATAATCAGGTTTCTGGGCTCTTTTGCTCCACTCTCACGTCCATCCTCTTCCTCTTTTGAAGAACATGGCTCTTCCTTTTTCTTCCCTTTAACTGTGGTGGTTCTTAGAGTTCCCTTTATCGTCTTCCTATAATGTATTTTCTACTTCGTAATAATAGCCATTGTCAGATATAAAATCTCCACCAGAATCTTCAGGCAAATTCCTGTGGTGTTCTGTCATCTGTTGTATAACTTTACGTTTTGTAGCAGTTAGTAAGTTACACATCTCCACTCCAAATTGGAATTAAGGTCTAAAGCTTTTGGGCTACTTTCAAGAAAATATTAAATATTAATTTAAATAATAACAATGACAATAAAGAAAAAGGTAATGTTTTATATTATGAAAGAATTTGTTCTTAATCATCTAATAGTATTAGCTCTTCTAATACATTTTAAATTATAATTTAACATATGAAACTATTTTTATTTTCTTACATATAATATACGTCACTCATAAAAAATTGGAATGATAGTATTTAACAGTGCATTAATACAATTTGAAGTTATAGCTCTAAAATAAAAAGAAAAATGGGAGAAAGCCAAATAACTTGGGTATTTTGCATTTCTCAGTATATAGTTCAACATTTTATTTAGTGTAGGATTAAGTCAGTTAACACCATAAATTAATAATCTTACATTATATATTTTGTACTACTTGATAAGTAATTTAAATTCTTTGTTATGTTGTTTTTATCATTGCATAATTTATTCAGCATTATTTCTGTTGGTGTATTAATTATTAATTGCATGCACAAGAAATCTGAGAAAAACCTAAAAAGAAAAAAAGAACAATTATTGTTCTATAGAAAATCATATTTTATAAAATTTAAAGTTTCCATCCTTCAGGTAATGAATATATTATTATGAAAATTGTATACCCAGTACATATGCCTTGACATTTCTTATCCATATTTTTAGGTTTTATCAGATAGTAAATAATGCATTTGCTCTTTGAAAGAACTAATTTAGAACCTAAATTTATATACTACCATAGAATACCATCTCCTCTTTTCCAAAACTGACTTCTGCTGATATCATTGTATTATGTTACGGGATAGTAAATATGCTGTTTGTTCTTTCAGAGATCAATTTTATACTGATAACTCATTGAAATACAACTAAAATAAATAACATTCTAAATAAAAGTTTTGATTAAATAGTTATATCTATATAATTCTAAATAAAAGTGATTTTCTTTCCATAGGTTTTTGCAAACACACTGACATTTTATTAAAACATATACACTGAGCTCCTTATATCCTGCTCTTTGTTTTGTTTTGTTTTTGCGGTACGCGGGTCTCTCACTGCTGTGGCCTCTCCCGTTGCGGAGCACAGGCTCCGGACGCGAAGGCTCAGCGGCCATGGCTCACGGGCCCAGCCGCTCCGCGGCATGTGGGATTTTCCCGGACCGGGGCGCAAACCCGTGTCCCCTGCATCGGAAGGCGGACTCTCAACCACTGTGCCACCAGGGAAGCCCTATCCTGCATTTTTAAAGCCACAAAAGTATCTTGTGGTACAGTTGGCCTCTGTCTACTCCGAAAAACAGATAAAGTCCATTCCAAGAGTAGCATGGCTGTGCATACAGTTACTGGGCTTTAGACAAATGGAAGTATTGCTGAGAATCTTCACAGACTCCTGAGAGCAAAGGTCAATGTTAGGATTGGACAAACCCCGCTGAAAATGATACACATCTTAGAGATGTAACAGGTAGTTAAATAGCTTTGAAAAGCAAAACTAGTGATAAGCATTTGAGGGGGTTTATAACATTTCAATTAATTTTAATTAAATAAATTAATTTTAATTACTCATCAATAATTGTGTGAGCACTCACCATTATTCTTAGATATCTTGTGCCTTTTGATTTTAAAAAATCTTTGGTTTTATTTTTGAATACTTCTTTTCTTTCTTTCTTTTTTTTTTTTTTTTTTTAGATGACACGAGAACAGTACATACTAGCAACACAACAAAATAACCTGCCAAGGGCTGAGAATGCACAACTTTACCCAGTGGGAATTTATGGATGGCGAAAGAGGTGCTTATACTTCTTTGTCCTTCTGCTGTTGGTTACCATGATAGTTAACTTAGCCATGACAATTTGGATATTGAAAGTGATGAACTTCACCGTGGTAAGTACCACCATGATTTTATATCTGTTGCCTTTGGTTCAAAGAAGATATAGCTTTATTATTTTTTTAATTGACAGTTATTCATCTTAATCTTTACATGTTTGCCTTGAAATTTCGAAGACTGTCATATATTATTTTATGACTGCATTCAATAGGTAATCATGATACATATATTTTACTACCTGCCATTTGAGTGTGGGGAATTTAGATCATGAGACAGCACAGCACATTGATTTATTAGGAAGCTAGAAAACTTTCAATCAATAAGCATAAAGCATTGTTTGCTAAACCTGGGAATCTAAAAAATGAGTCTGCTTTTAGAAATGATATTTCATGTTAAAATTAATATAGGAGATCACAAGGTTCCTTTGAAATACTTTATACAGAATATTTACCTCTCTACATTTGCTTTCTATGTAATATACTGCATGATCAAATCTAAACCCTGGAATTTTCCTGGGCTGCATGGAACAATGTCTATAATTGTCATCACATGGTGATCTCATTCTATCAGAGAGCATGGCCATGGTAAATAAAAGATAAACCAGGAATTAAATCTCTATTTTACAAAAATCAGTAATTAGCAAAATCATTGTCTGATCCACAGATGAATTTTGCTTCAGTTTTTTGACCATGTACAATAAACCTATGAGGATGTCTTATCTGGGAAAAATTAGCTGCTTCAGCAAAGTCTAGTTTAGCCATTTTATATTTGCTGGCTAAATTCTTAAATTTCTCTACTCTGTCTTTAAACCATTCTGCCTTTGCTTAGAAACCTGATAGCTTCACATCCAAGCAGGTATCTTTCTTTGCTGACCAAATTGCTATTATTCTTTAGAACTCTGCATCCTCAGGGGTGAGTGGAAGGCTGGCTATTTAACTTCACTGATCTTCCGATGTGGGGCTGTCTTTAAAAAAAAAAAAAAACAACTCTGCTGTGTATTGATTTAGCAAGAGTAGTTTCTTTCTGACTTCACGAATACCGAATTCTGACTAGAAAATGAGCCCAGCATCTGTCCACAGTGTAGGGCACTGCGGTTGTGTGCAGTAGGAGCCTGGGGGGCAGGTGGCCTAACCTTCCAAAGAGGAAAAACTATAACTGTGCAAATCATGATAAAACAGCATATGCTCATGGAGAAAAATGAGCTCAGCAAGAGTTCCATGTTTTCCAATACAGTGCAAATTCTGAAGGGTATTCATCAAAAAAAGGAATGAAAGACAAAGAGAAGATGGGCGGGACTCAGTGTGTTCCAGGATTAGAGAAAATAACTGCTTCCTAGACATGGATATATGTTCAGGGTCATTGATCAAGGCCTGTGAGCCTGTGGGTGGCTAGAGGTGGAGCTGGGGGCTACTAGGCAAATGATAGCTTTATGAGACTCTGGTAACACATGAACCATTCCTTTGTCCCGTACCCCCACCCCCCAAGAAAAAACAGTCTTGAGAATATCTGACACAAATGTCATTAATTCTATCTGTCGTCTTTTCGTTCTTCTGAGCTCTGCTCCTGTGTTCACTTACTCATGCCTTCTTTATTCGTGGTTTGTGTATCACACAGTAGGGACAACATGTATACCCCTGCAGATTTTTTTATGCTGTCTTAACTATCAGGCAAACTAGCAGTTGCTGACAGCAAGTTCTTCAACATCATTTTTCAAAAAAAAAATTTTTTTCTTAAAGAGAAGAAGAGTAGATTTTTCTCCAAGTCTTACAATTTCAAGCATTCTTTTTCCTCTATCAAGAGACATCTTTAAAAAGCTCATGAAAAATAGGATCAACTCTCTCACCTTAGGGAGCCTTGATCCTATCCAGTGACCAGGCCACAGGAATTTTCAGATTAAATGCATGTATGTTTATGAAGCATGTTTAAATTAATTAAGAAAATAGACTTAAAATGCGTAATTTCATGGCTGCATGCATCAGCCTCCCAATACCTTGCCCCATGCTGAGGCCAAAGCTGGATAAGCCATTCAGGGAAAATAACTGAACCGTCATCTTTGTCCTCCAGATCCTCACAGGCCTCTGGGTCTCTGTTACCTATGGAGCTATCTAATTTGAACCTCAGCTGGCCAAAATGTAAATGTCAACATATTCCTTGGGATAATGAAAAGGAATTTATTTCTGTAGGAATCTTGACATTTATTTACTTATTTTAATTTAGGCATATCTTTCTTTTTTGTTGTTTTTTAAATCACAATTTTATTTTTTTATAATCGAAATAGAAAACTATCCTTCCTTTAGCTATGTAAGTTATTTATATGTACCTGAAATAAATGGAAAGATAAAGTTGTAATTTTTGTATCAAGATAATTTTTATAAGGTAACATATTCTTTATATCCATGCAGAGATTCGTAATTGTTCAGAAAAATTCCAAATTACTTAGTAATTGCAGATTTTAGCAGTCCTAAATACTACACATCAGATTAAGCTGCATGTACTTGCATAGTGAAATTTGTAATCCTCTTACATTAGAGCAGTAAAAAAAAAATCAACTTTAGTTTTCACTAGTACATTAGGATTGTACCTATCTCTAGAATGAATACCAAAAACCACTTGCCATACTATAGTGAGAAGTAGTAAATGGTGTGTAAATTGTTTAGGGAGTGTTATTGATCTGCACAAAATGTATTTCACTTTCATTACAACTGTTGCCATTCAATACATGGAAATATGTGGCTGTTAACATCTCTTATTTGGGCAAACTTGACATGTTATTGCTCTCAAAATATTGTGTTTCCAGCACAGCACGTGTAGCTGCCAACCTGTTCTATGATGCTTCTTTGGGTCCATCATTATGACCAGTATTACACATGTTCTCTATGGTTGATATGACCTTATTCTGTTTCTCATTTTGTGGAAAATAATATCACTCTACTATTGAGATATCCAGCTGCAGAAAATCAAGAAAAAGGAAATGACTTTATACCACAGGGTGAAAAACTGAGGGTAGATATAAACAATAATTTCCTGGCATGAGAGTTGGTAAGTGTTGGCATGAGTTGTAAGGGAGAGATTTTGAAACAACATTCTCTCGAGATCAGTATAACCCAATTACAAGCTTCTGTTGTTGTTGTTTGGTTGTTTGGTATAATATCTTTGTGATTCAATATAATAAACTAGTCCAGCAGATCTGTCAAACCAGACATTCTGCTGAGGCAATGTTCTTTTCTTCCAGTGCCCATGGTAAATCAATTAGCTCTATACTTGAAAATTGAAAATGAATATAATAATAAAGTATTCATTTTAGTCATGAGAGTACTAAGTAAAAGTTGGTGGCATCCAACTGCAACTTAATTTGATTAGACATGTTCACAAGCCAGCAAAAGAAAGAATGGAAACTTAAGTGCCATTTATGAAGTGAAGATTGAGAGGAAGGTCATGAATGTTGTGACTGAAAAGTCAAGAGTACCCAGATATGGATAATAATTGAAGCAATCAATTAATTGAATAAATTAGAAAAAAAATTCTTAGAGGCTTATATGATGAGTGGGATGAATGTTGGATGAAGGGAAATCCCAGGAGAAGCTGGATTGAATACCTTAGTTTTTAAGGATTGAAAAAGAACTGGGACATTTTTAGTTCAACCATCCACGTATTTCTAGAGTTCACTCTACAATGTTCTCTCTATTTGGTCACTCAGCATCTGCTTAAATCCTCCTTTGGTTGATAAGCAAACCATCCCATTATATCACTGGATAGTTTTGTTGTTATTGATATCTTGGTATCTTGTTGCAATCTTCCTGTATGTTAACTCCAGTCTTAGGATCCTAATTCCATTCTTTCAGTCTGACATCAATTTATCAATTAATCAAGACCACAATATGTTCCAATATACACACATATACATACATATATAAACAAACATGTACAAGTATACACATATATATACTTTTATACATATACACATCAAGGATATATATATCTTTGATCATATTGCATTTTACTGTCTAAAGATCAGAATATGTAAGAGATTCTTATGCAATCCCTTTGGTTTCCTTAGTTGCGACTTCCTTTTTTCATCTCATATTCTCTTTATTACATATTTATAAGTATATGTGTACAAGATGATCAACCCTTTTATGATATCTTTCTGTTTATGGCTGTTGTCTATAGAGTCACTGATACCTTTTATCATATTTTCTTTTAGTGTACCTTTCTAAAGTTGAGATTGCACATAATACTATATTTAGCTTTCTGCTTTCTCACTTTTTAAAGCTAAATGTTTTTTTTTAAACTTTTGAATTTTCTTTGCCACTCTTTTTTTTTTTTTTTTAAAGAAGATGTTGTGGGTAAGAGTTTATTAATTAATTAATTTATTTTTGCTGTGTTGCGTCTTCATTTCTGTGCGAGGGCTTTCTCTAGTTGTGGCAAGCGGGGGCCGCTCTTCATCGCGGTGCGCGGGCCTCTCACTATCGCGGCCTCTCTTGTTACGGAGCACAGGCTCCAGACGCGCAGGCTCAATAGTTGTAGCTCACGGGCCCAGTTGCTCCACGGCATGTGGGATTTTCCCGGACCAGGGCTCGAACCCGTGTCCCCTGCATTAGCAGGCGGATTCTCAACCACTGCGCCACCAGGGAAGCCCTAAAGCTAAATGTTTTTAAAGTTAATTCGGGCGGAATATGAAATAATATACTTTTTCTGGTTCTTAAATCCTGTACTCCTTCTAATACTTTGGTAAATGACACATCACACATCCCCATCTCACACTTGTAACTATTTATTCCTTTTTTTGAAATCTTCATCAGTAACCAAGTGATGTTTTATCTATAGCCATTTCCAATCTACCTAAGATGGCTAAAGTGTGTATGCAATATGCTATCATCTGTGTGTCCATCCAAAAACTTGCTACTCTCACAGTTTTCTTCATTTCACTTTCTAATAGGACCATTACTTTGGAATGAACTTTCCCATCTCCATTTATCCAACCAGTTCTTATATTTATCAAAGCTGTGTCCTAATCTCAGATGCATTTTATTTCTTACTCAGAATCTATGGATAT